CCCTATGAATTTTACCATAGCAGCCAGGCAAAAATGATTAATGCCAGACTTCTGCCTTGAGGCTGTTGTCAGCTGGAAGAATATCATATCTGGGCAAAAAGTAGAGGAAGAAATGTGTTTTTATTTTCCCAGAATGATTTATCACCAGCTGTTTGAGTCTGACCAGATGTCCGCATTGCTGGAAGCTGTCTTGACAAAGAGAGATTTATTTGTTTAAAGAGGTACAAGATTTTTTACAATGGGCCACATTTGCTAAACACAGGCCCAAGTCAGGAGCTGTGAGGTACAACCTCTAGCTGCCCGGCTGAACAAACCCACCCATGTGTACGTGTAGCCTGAGAAGATCCCTCCTCCTTCCCCGTTACTCAAAGAAGCCTCTGAGGTGAGACAAATAAAGCATTTTAGGACCCAGAAGGATAAACAGAAAGAAGGTGACATCTCCGTAGTTTAGTATTTACTGGGAAATGGGAGATCCCTGGAATATTTGCCTTGCCTTAGTATTTTAGATTTAGATCACAAGCCAACTCACCCAACCAAATCTGTCCCCCATTTCAACTCTGCTGCCCTCAGCCACTAGTGGCGGCCGCCCTAAGGCACCCTGCCCTAGAGGCAACCCAAAAAGCCTTTCTGCCTCAAGGCCTGCAGGGCAGGGTGGAGTGGCTGAGTGGTTAAATGATCTAATCTATCACATCCCTCCTCAAGTCACTGGTTTATCCTCGGCTCCCAAAACACCAGCCAAATAGAGAACTTTGGTGGTTTGGTGGCTACTGCTAAACACCAACCCAACGGCTGATGGAGGAGCTTGGGGCGAGCTACAGTCAGCACATCTCAAGCCCAGCTTCTGGCAGCTGGACTCATCTATATTTGGCTGGTGATTGCTCCCCGTGTTTCTGATGGTCCTTCTATAATGGGCGTCTTGCCCCCCACAGCCCCTCTGAGGGACTGAAAAGGCCACACCACCGCTCTGCAGTTAATGCTGTGGTGGGTATTCCATTGCACCTAATTAGAGCCGTAAAGCAGGAATCAGCACACGTTTGTGTTAAGCCCTGACGACCAGAAAGCCTGTTTTCCAGAATGCCTCTCCAGGTGATATCCACCACTGGGGCAATTCTTTCTCTCACCCAGCAGTGCTGTCCCTGGCTGGCAGAACAGGCTGCCTAATTCTCACCAACGGCAACAAGCACTGAAAATAACAAAAGCTGTCCAAAGCCTCTAACGAAATGGTCGCAAAAAAGCTTTCCACTTCATTAGCTGGAAGTGATTTTGTAACTTTGGTACCCTTCCCCCTCCATTGACTTCCCCTGGCAAGCACAAAGGCCCTGGAAGGCTCCACCAGGCAGGAAGGGTGGGCAGCAGGCCCACGGCAGCAAACTATTTAATGACTGGGTTGTTGTGCGAGTGACTGTCATCTGTGAGAGGAGGATGTTTTCCAGTTTGTCCTTGGCAGCCGAAGCTTTGCTGGAGGATAACCACATCGCGAATATGGGGAATTTCAAGAACTTTGGCTTTTAAGCGTTTTGAGTGATGGGTGCTCCTGCAAAGGTCAGATTTGGATCTGGAAGCTCAAAGAGGTCTGAGCATCTCTAATCAGGAAAAGTAATGCCTTTAATTTCAAAGTACAGCTGGAGGTTTGTTTATGTACAGTCAAATATAAAGCTTTCCCAAGCTCTGCCATTTATGGCTAGTGATCACAAATGTTTATTTCACTTTTTTACTGTAATGCAAATTTTTCTCAGTACCTTTGTCTACCTAGTGAAATGCAAGATGAAAGGTAAACTGTTCAAGAGCTGAGGCTTGGGTGCCTACAAATGATCTTAGGTCTACAGCTTCATGCCAGTTCTATATTTATCATGAAAACACCTTTTTTTCACACTAAGAAGCTTTAAACTAACTGAAAAGCAATTTAAGCAGCAGAATATTAATTATTAACCATAAATATATGTAATTGGAAGTGCTTAACAGCTTGGCTAAGCTACTGAAATGGGCACCTGCACATACCTACGTTTCAAAGCTTGTTCTACTACAACAGAGCTTCCTGAAATGGCACTGTTCCATTTGAAATAGAAGACACTAAGTATTGTTTATCTGCTCCTGTTACAGCTCCAAAGGATTCTGAATAGTGAAATGCCTGAACTTCTTATTAATTTTTTTCCCCAAGAAGGAAACAACAGTCCATGCTACAGCACACTGTCACTAGCTGTCAAAATGACATGCTCTTGTTGCACACTGGGAAACTGCCTAAAAGCATAAAGCAGGATGGAAAGCAGTTTTTCACCAGCTAAGCATTCTCATCCAAACTTCTAAAACTGGTGTATAATTAATAAATAAACTCCTCTGTTACTTGGTGTGCTCACAGTTGTTCAATGACTGCTAAGTGGCAAACAATTTTTTCACTGTTGCTCTTGTCTTCTGACACTTTCAGAGTCCCACAGGAGAAGAGAATATATTTGATGGCATTACTGAAATGCAATATATCTTCATGTTCATCTGTTCTTCTACTGAGGAGATGTCAGAGGTTAAGTACAGCTCTTTGCACGGAAAGAAAAGCAGGGTGAAAACGATGATGCTAAGAACTAAACGGAATTACCACCTATGAGTCCAGGTGTCCCTGCTGAAATAAGGTATTTCAGGCAGCTCAGCCTACAGCTGGTCTGTAGCTTCACTGTGTGCAATCTTACATTTCAAATACAATCTTGTTTCTTAAAACCAGGAAATTCTGCCTCCCCCCAACGTTTCTGGAGGGATGCTGCAAAACAGGATACTTATTTTAGAACCCATACAGTGAATGTTCATCCAGCCTCCTGAAGTACTGAAAGGGTCAGATCAATATGAATACTACAAAATCAAGCCCTTTCTACTGCTTTTCTTCTGATTATTTCCCCTATATTCTGAAGCTAGAAACCTTCAGTGAAAATCACCACATATTCACTCCTGCCATTCGGACTTCCAGCATTAAACTTGCCCTGCTATGGGGTAAGGGCACGAGCACCAGGTTTGTTCCTTGCCTGTTACTCCTGCTGGCAAGGCAGAGGGGTGTCTACAGAATAAAGATTCTCACTGACACATTATTGCTCAGCTTTAGTTTCCTACGTTGAATTTTCAGTTAATCTTCCTATGGAAAATTAGGAGAAATGGCCAAATCACAGTCCTTCTCCTAGTCCAGAATTTCAGTTCATTTCTGCAGGTGCCAGCAGTTAGTCCAGCTTCCACTGCGATTTCTCTGCCATGAATAAACCAAAGATGTGAGCTTATTCAGAAATGGCTATTCAGGAAAAAATGTTATCTTCAGGACACACCTTGCTTCCCTTCAGAGAGGTGAGAATTGGAAGGCTACTCCATCTCTCCCTTCCTGCAAGGGCAAGGAAAAAAAAAAAAAAAAGCCAGAGGGATGCTTTTTCTTTTCCTGGCATGCAGTAACAGTAAGGGAGAAGTAATTAAAAGAACATACGGAGAAATGAACAAAGTTGCCAAACCTGGCTGTTCAAACAGCACGGCCTATCCAAATCCAGAGAGGTCTGCACAGAGAGGCAATTGCACAAAAGCTGTCTGCTAAGGATTTTCAAAGTGGAAGAACTTGGCAGAGCATTGGGTGGCTGTTTATTAGCTTGGCTTCCAAATAAATACTTCCCTCAGCCCTTCCCCCTAAATCCTACTGGGCTTGGAAAACCCCTTCACAGGAGAGGTTGTCAGGAAGAGTCTATAAGCAGATCTTTAGGCAACCCTGAGGGGCTACCTCGGGGTAAAAATAAATAAATGACCTGACAACGTAGATGTTTGGAAGCTGTTGTGTGCCGTATCGAATCCAAAGCGCTGCTGCTTGTGTTCCTGCCTTCCTTCAGACAGATGGCAAAGCACAGTCAGGTCAAGAAAATCCTGGTGAAACTGGAGAAGTCCGAGGTGCCAGGAACAGGTGTCCCCAAACTCTGCCTTGCACGTCCTTTATTCTTACATATCCCCAGACCAGCTGCCTTTCTTCCGCTGATGTGCAGCACTGACTAATGTCAGTATTTTTGTTTTTTTTGGCAGCTACTAAAAGCTAAATTAACTCAAATGCAAGGGAATTCAAGTATTTATTTCTGTGAAGAATATGAAGACTCTCAGCTTTTAAAAATACTTCTGACCTTTTTCACATAAGTCAACACTGATGCAAATGTATTCTCATGGGAGCAAAGACAACTAAGATACCTTTACATTAGTTGTGAAGAGTATCAGAAGAAGCAATATGTAAAAAGTTCATTTATTTCCACTTAAAAACAGATTTGGGTTCATGTAGCATAAGACTCTTACAGGACTTCTTAGGTTTCAGGTGTGGTATTTCATAAAAAAGCAGAAATCTTTCTCCCCCCCAAATCCTCCTAAAATCAAGTTATGCATAAGGGCCTTGGAGGGACGATCCTTCCTGGATTGCAGAGGGAATCAGCAGAAGCCCCAGAGCACGAGGGAAACACAGAGTGAATCTGATGCAAATTTATTTTTAATTTTACTGCTGTTTACAGCAGCCTACTCCTCTTTGAAATACCACTCCCTCCTCTTCCAGGGCTGAGGACACTGTTGGCTTAGAGATGAAACTGATGAGCCTGGAGTTAAAGTACAGCCCTTAGGGTCTAAGTAGGAGCATAATGACGAGCATGATCCCCTAAGAATATATCCATTTATCCGAAAGTGAGAAGCAGCAGTGTTTTCTGAAGGGGCAACACGACTAATAATAATTGGTAAAATGCCTTTTTTTCTCTGCAAAATCAAACCCCAATTGCTGCAGTGCGTCAGAGCTTAGACAGCTCGTAGGCAAATACTCACATCTACTTGAGAGCTCTACAGCCTGGCTGGGAAGGATGTGAAATGGCAGTTCAAATACTGTGTCTGTGTCAAAGCATTAGGGAGTCGGACGACGAGCTCTTCTTGTTCTGCAGCCAGATCTAGGTTATATGCTTATGTTCAGATTTTGGCTTGCTAGAGAACATTCTGTCAAAGGCATCAGGAAAAATGGAACTTGAACAATCTGGACAAATCTGTGGTTTTGTGGTTTTTTTTTTTGTTTGTTTTTTTTTTTTAAGAAATAAAGAGCTAACATCAGTCAAGTTTTTTAAGAGTATTTGTATATCTTGACTGAGATTACAATGAGAATCTAAGAATTCTTCAAGTTTTCCGGCCTGCAATTTTCTTTCTCTTCTGAGTGGAAATAAATGACAGAAGAGAAAACTGGTGACATTTTGAAGTCCCTTTGTAAAGAAAGAACAATTTAGCAACATCATTATTATAGACTGTAACACACTAATGAACAGCATGTAATATAAGATTTTTAATAATATTTGATTTCATTATCCAGATTACTGTCTCATCAGTATTTCATGGTTATCACTGAACACCTTCAATTTACATTCTTAAATAAGTTACTGTGTAAATAAAGTATGCTCAGAGTTCTTGTATGTGGACAGTACTTACATTTAATTACAGATGATCTGGATATGTTTATAGGTGCAAAATACATTAAAATTGTTTACAGGAAATAAGCTCAACTAGCACTAAACTCTGGAACCTAAATGTTCACAAACAGCACCGACAGTAGCTCAGCTATTCATTTGAACATGCTTTTCAAAATGTACTTTGGAACGCAGTAGAAAAGAAATTCAAAGAAACACCAAAAAGAGGGAAGCACAGGGAAGATCAAAACTCCATAGCAGGTTGGATCAATAAAATATTAAACTGCAGTTCTTAAATGTAAGTACTACACCAAGTAGTAGTCTGGTTGGTTTTAAATGGTGTTAAAGCCCTTGTTTTTTAAAGGAGACAGTAATAAGCATTTTGCCTATTCAATCCACTCAAGATTTAGGCATCGTGCTATAAAAGCAAACATATCTGACACTTCTTCTATAACTTTAGCAGTTGGTTTTCCTGCTCCGTGCCCAGCCTTGGTGTCGACGTGGATGAGAAGCGGATTGGTTTGTTTACGGCTTCGGCCCACAACGTATTGCAGAGTAGCGATAAACTTCAGCGAATGGAGAGGGACCACGCGATCGTCATGGTCTGCTGTGAGAAGCAGCGTAGAGGGATACTGGATGCCATCTTCTTCTGGTAGTTTGATGTTGTGAAGTGGAGAGTACCTGAGAAGAGCACACAAACGTTTACATATTTTCTCCTCAAGACCCAACAAGAAGGTCCTCTCATTCTGGAATCGTCACGGTGGCATCTGACAGCAGCACTCAGAATGCGGCAGTTCTCAGTTGCCTAGATCAGAATTGCACTACTGGCAACCAATTCCGTGGTAGTGGCCACAGATGTCTGTCTCTCTAATGTGAAGCAACTACATTTCTTTCATTTCAGAGAGGCATATGCATATATCTCACAGAAATGCCAAAAATATTGGAAACCAGCAACGGGGAAACTACAGCAAAAGCTGTCAAGTCCATTGTAGGATCCATCCTGCTAGGAAATATGGAAATTGAGACTTTTTCTTGGGATTCATATGTAGTCCAGGTCTGCGTGTGGATGGCTTCTTCCCATGCAGATTTGGAAACAGTCTCTGATGTCACAAGTTCTGTACAGTTATGAAATTTGCTCCCTCCAATGTTTAGGCCACCTTTGAACATGCACGTACTCTGAGGGAACACCATGCAGGAAACTGAAAGGAGAACTGTAAGTTTTCCTGCTTTTGACAGATGACCTCAATTCCTATTTTTAAAGTAATGAATAATCTAACTTTCAAAATTTGTTTTCTTTGCAGGCGAATTTACACCTTTTAGCTACTGTAACGCAACATAAAAGGTGCATCTACATATCTCAACACAAAGTACTCTCTAGCATTAGAAATGAAACATAAGTCAGAAAGAGTTCCGTCTAACTATTTCATACTTTGTTTAGAGAAAGCTACCCCTAGGAAGAATGTTACATTCCTTAAATCAAGAGTAGGATACTATCCCCTCGCCCCCGCCAACATTTCATGTGAGGAAATACAGAAGGAAATTTTGATTTTTGAATGAATTTCCCGCTTGGAGGAGTATCCATTAAGTAAGTCCATAAGAACACGGGACTGAACGTCTAACCTAATGGATTCCTGGCTTCTTCATTTTCATCTAAGGAACAATGTAAGTGAATTTGCAGACTATGATTTGTTTTGAAAAGTATTTAAATGACACTACATGCTACTGTATTTGCCTTATGTATTTTTTGGGTATCTGTAAAGGCAGTATCTAAGCAACATTAGCTATATAGTTTCCTACATTTGATAAGCAATTGCCAGCTGTTGAAAAGGAGACAAAGAACCATTTCAGGTATTGCCATATAAGATGTTTCTAAAATTGTGCATTGAGATTCTGTAAGCACGTGTGTAACTAGGTATAGAGTGACTCCTTCCTACAGATGCATTTCTAATCACAGATTAGTTTAAAACTTTGCTTCTATTTCACCTCTTCAGAATATCTGAATTCACAGATGTGCAGGAAAGTTTCAGTGTCCAAAATCATGAAGACTATTTGGATCATTTTTATAACAGTAAAGCTTTTATCTAAGACCTAAGTTATCTACTGATAAAAGATTAATTATGAAATTTGTTAATTGTTTGTGCATTATATTTACAAAAATATGTTTGCCACTAAAAGCTTAAATTAGACAACCAGAGGTTTTGAAACAATCTAATTACAATGGGCTCAACTGATCATCTGGTATTTGGACTTGACATTGATTTTTATTTTTTTTTTTTTAATACTTTAGATCAAGTTAGAACTCAGTGTGCTTATAAGCACATGTACTTTTTAATATCTAAACGCTCTATTAAATTTCAGACCAGCCAAATTGTTTAGTGTGTCTGAAGCATTCTCTTGCAATGTGAATTTTCATTATTAAAGGAATAAAAATGCAGTAACAAAAGACGAGGTTCCAGAAAAGTATTTTAAAATGATGGCACTTATTCTAACACACTCATTATTAGCCATATCCAATGTGCAGATCATTTCTGTTCTCACACAGCTGCCTCTCTTATCCCTTTTTTTTTTGTCTTAAAATAATCTTTCCAGACCTCTCAGCAAGGAGTTAAGAAACGAATTAATATCCTGTTATGGTCTACTGCCGTTCAACAAATAAATCTCATCCGCATTGTATAACAGAATTCACAATGGTGATTGTCTCTTCCCCATCATAAAAAACATATAATTTATGTAGTGGTTCACTTGAGAATATTCTGTTGTAACAGCCTAAAGGAGTCATTATTCAGAAAGAAAACCTTAAGAATTCTTAAAGCTGCTAGTAGAACCAGGTCTTTGAAAATATGACCAGTTGACTCAACAAGGCTTTGAAGATAGTTTTCCATGCAAAACTGACTTCTAAGGAAACACTGAACTCCTCAAATCCAGTATGTGAAAGGATGAAATAATTCTTAGAATAACTGCTGATCATGACAACTTGGAACTGTGGAGCAGACTATGCATTTTAACAATCACAGAAGTACTGAAAGGCACTTACTTGCACAGCCATTCAAACTGCTCTTTACAGTCGGAGCAACCGTAGTCGGTGGTCCAAGCATGGCCGATGGTGTACTTGTGGAACTTGAGCATGTCCATCACTCCCACTTGGGCAATGGCACAACCAAAGAGGTCGGGGCGCTGATTGGCACAGGCAGCTTTGACATGAAAACAATTCAATTATTATTCGTATCTTAAAAAATTAAGCTCAGCAGTGAAAGGTCCACTGCCAAGTTCATGAAAGGCCAACTTCCTAAAAGCTGTCCTTTATCAACTACAAGTTTCTTTTTAAAAAACCCCAAACAGATGTAAAACTGTTAAAACAATATGAGAAGAAACATAGACTACAATATAACATCTGAAGCCAAAAAACTGGAGTATAAAATATCTGATATAAACCCAATTGCACTGGGAGAAGACTGCTAGTGAATATGAAGTCAAATAGATGTTTAAGCAAAACTGAGAGCAAATACACAAGTGGCTAAAAACTCCCAAAGACGGCATTTTCAAAAGAGCTTTAAAGCTATTTCCCTGTTCTTCAGGCACCAAACATGCTGTTCTTTGAAAACTGCCTTCCAAACCAGCAAAATGGGTTTAAAGGAGAAATGCACTAATAAAATATGTGAGCTTTTGGACTAATGAAGTTTCCTAAACCATTCACTGTCTAAACTTTTAATATTAGTATCAACAAAGAAAACGCCATCAAGGACCAAACCCCCTCCATTTACTGATGATATTTTCTTTGATAATTACTACGTAGACCCAAAAAAAGTTTTGATAAAAGCACATTACTACAAAATCAGAGGAAAAATATAATTTTAATACAGCAAATTACCATTGTGGGTTTTTTTTTTTTTTTTAATGATGCCCATCATCCTGCTACTGGAAGGGATGATTTCTTTAAGAATAATGCTTGCCTCAAATATTTTAAAAATAATCACAGTAGGCCCATCTAGCTCAGTGTTCCGTTTACAAGAGTAGCAACTGGCAGATGCTCTAGCAAAAGGCGTTAAGCAAATACTCAGAGATATTTCCTATTATCAGCTTTTGAACTAGTTGTTTAGGCTTTCCCTGAGTTGGGAGTTATTTCCAGCCGTCTCGTTAAACAGCCATCAAAACACACGTCTTCTGTAAATACATCTATTTCCTTTCTTAATGTTCATTCATCTGGTGTTCATCATATCCTGTAGCATTAAGTTCTTCAATTGCAATTTCTGTTGCTTGATTTAAATCTGTTGCGTAGTGATTTTACCAATTCCCCTACCTTTCTGTATTTCAAGAAATAAGAGCACTGAGATTTTCATGTAACTACCACACTGAATCCCAGAATCCCTTTCTTAATTCAGAGCTAATCACTGTGCACCCATCCACACCTACGTATACTGTTCCCCAAATTCTTTTATCTCCTCCTTTCTGTCTATTGTGAAAATGGGTCGATTATTTGCATTCTTTGCCTCCTGCAAACCAGAATATTGTTATGACATGACCTTGCTTCCAGCTCAGCAAGAACTTTCTTGCATAGTCTTACATAAGGGACCTTGTCAAAAGCTCCCTGACTCCTTCAAATAGCTCTAATACATTTGCAAGATGTAACTTCAGCCTGCAAAATCCTTCCTTACGTGTCAGCTATTATTTACTGGTTTCAATTGGTTTGCCCGTTAGAGAAGTCAGATTTACTCATCTGCAGCTTGTGGATCACCATGAACCATTTAAAAATTGGCATTACACTTGCCCCCTTCTGTTCCTCAGATATTCAGGCTTAGTAGCCAACAATTTCATATCGGAGTTCACTTAGGCTCTTGTGTGTGCACCATCTGGTCCTGGCAACACACTACTTTTCATTTGATTTGATTTATTCCAAAACCTCTTCTGCTGATGCTTCAGCTTGAGTCAGCTCCTCAGAGTATTCCCCCCGAAGACAGGCTCTGCTGCCGGGAACTCCCCACGCTCCTCAGGAGGGAGCATCAATACAAATACACCATTTAGTTCTGCTCTGCCATTATCTTTCTTCAGTGCTCCTTTTACACCTCACTGACCTGTAAGACCCACAGATCCTCTGGCCAGTTTGCTGCTTCTGATGCACACAGAAAGCTTTCACTGCTAATCTTTATATCAGAAGCAATTTGCTCATCGGTCTCCTGTGGTCTGTCAGTCCCTGACAGAGTTTACACTTTATTTTCTTCATTTGAACGTGGTTTCTATTTTCTGAATGATGCCATTTTGCTTCTGGTCATCTATGATACGTAACTATGCTAACTCGTCCTGTCCTTTCTAAGTCATTTTCATAATTATATTCTAGTAGGGGGAAAAAAGCCAAACCAATTGTCATAACATTTAATTTTATTACTCTTTATTGCAGAGTTTCTCTTGAAGCACTGTGTGTTGCTCAGGATTTTATAAACTATTACTACTCCTAGTTCCCTAGTTACTTCAGTAGGAAATCACTTACGGAGACACTCATCCATTCCCACTGCACCCCTTTAATTAGCCATAATACTTAATTATATACACTAATAAGCTGTAACCTGGAACACCAATTTCTTTGTGAATTTTAATCCCCTACACATACTTTGAATTTTAAAATTCAGTACAAAAAGTAAGATTTCAAAGCCTCAGAACTGTCTGTCCAAGCAAACACGAGAGGTCAAACGCTGGGTTTGCGTGAAAGGGGTGTTCAGCTCCCAGCTGTGGGGCTTGGGAACCACCACAGCACAAGGAAGTCTTGTTTTGCAGCTGAATGAGGCAAGAGCTGGGGGCTCTGCACTCCTCAGAGACACCTCCTGTGAGTCACACCGAAAGGAAACCGCATTTTCAAAGAGCGACAATGCTCTTCCTTGTCAGTTTTTTCTTCAATAAATGAGAACTAAGAAACCTGGCAACGGGTCCTTGCACCTGAATTAGAAGTTACGCTCTCCAGTGTTGCATGCAAAGCTATTGCAAAATTTAGTGCTGCTTTGATGAAAAAAGCACTTCCAAGGATTTCCTAAATTCACCTAATGCTACCCAGTCAAGGAAAATCCCTTTCTGGCTCATCAAGAGTGTGGAATCCAGTTGGATTGTAATCCATCTGCAAGTGCAAGGGAAGGTTTCTAATTTTTCAGAGCAGGGAGGTCTAGATTCCTAACAGCTGTCCCCACCGGAATGACGTACACTCTGCAGATGTCACTCGCTTCCCCTTACCCAAACAAGGAGCCCAGTTCACTTGTTCAGCCAAAAATACAGGGTTTTTTTGATGACTAAAGCTGGGTAGGATGAATCTCATCCTGACTGAAACGGAAGTCCATGTAACCATAAACCAGTATTTTCAGAAGCTCAGAAGCTATGTCATGCTGAAAGTTTAAGTGCATTTCCAAACGTATATTTATGCTCACACAAAATTGACTTTTGCAATGCTTGTACGTACCCTTTATTCTTTTACCATATTCTCCCATTTCTATTGGTGCTCTATTTACAGCACACAAATACCTCCTGCCACCTCTAAGGCAGAAGTATATAAACAGAAAGCAAAAAATGTAAGTTTGCATGTACTTGTTAATTATCTTGAAAACAACTGCTTTTTAATTACAAGAATGCAGGAATAGCCAAGATAGCTTAGACCAAAGATCTACACAACTTCAAATCCTGTTTCTTATACTGGATGCTAGTTCTCTGAAAAATAAAATGAAATCAATAGAGCCAGTATTCAGCAGCAGATAAATAAGGAGGAGTATAAAAAGAAGAGCAAACAAAAAGTGGGCCTCATAAATCTGTTCATTTTCTATAAATCAGTGGTTTATGAACTTGAAATGCTTTTTTTTTTCCTTCTCACATGAGTAGCTCAACTCTGTCATACTGTCACATGCCTTTGATGCTGTTTAAAAAAATGCAAACCCCAATATTATTCAGTTGTGCTTCCTTCTCTTTTCAAAACAGAACAAAATCACCTCCTTCTACTACATTCAGATACAGAGATTTAATCACAAATAAGTTTCATAGCTCTTTAAATACTCCTTAGACTATGAGACATTTTTGTGACAAGCTTTTCTGTTTAAGAGGAGCCTATTAATTTCCTTGAATTTAAGAACACAGCGGTGAATTATATGTGAACAAGATGCATTTGTAACAAAGTGCTACATTTACACAGTCCCTCAAAAGCTCACAACTTTTTCAAGTAGTTGCACTTGCAATTGTGCATTTCTCACCAGAGACATTCATGATTTTATTTGTGGTCATGTTTTAGCTACACAGTGAAAGTAGTCAAATTGTTACACATCCCTGTACAAAGGCTTTCAATGCAGAACTGTCACCTTTTCATTTGCTGTCTAAGAACAAGAATGGATGACTGCAGAAAGAGTGAATGACAAATGCTGATGGAGGATTGCAGGACATGAGGTTCTGTCTCACACTACAGAGCACACAAAGTTTCCTCACGCTACATAACAGATTTCTGGTTATCTGGTAATTATTTTGTAATGGTTGGCCTTAAGAAAGATGTCCTATGTAAACAGCATATGAAGTACCACTGTATATATTTAACACCTGGTACATATTAACGCATTGACATTCTGGCAACTTTTGCAAAGAGGATCTCATAAGTTTTTGTCTGGTTACTTTGATAAACCCAGTACCAAACCCAGGAAATACAGGAGCACTTCTTACCGACTAAGAGGCCCCCATTTGAGCCTCCATTAATTGTCAACTTCTTTGGGGATGTGTAGCCTTCCTTGATGAGGTATTTGGCAGCACACTGAAAATCATCAAAGCAATTTTGTTTGTTGGCCAAGATACCACCTAGCACACAAATAAAACAAATCAGTTGATGGCATAAAACCCATTTGATACCCTTTTTCTTCAGAAAAACATGTGTGCAAAAATACCTGGCAACAATTCCAGTTTCACGAACATTTTAATAATTGATGCAGCTCAGAAAGATAGCAAAAATGAGATATTCTTTCAACACAAAGAGTGTATAAGATACTTCTGTCGATAACTCCAATGCTTTCAGAAATTCTGAATAATACATACCTACACTGTGGAGTGAGTGCCGGGTAGTGTTCCTCACCAGTAAAATTAAAGCTAAAAGCTTTGCATTGCAAAATATATACAAAATGACCACATACAATCTGCTTGAGGTTTGATGTAATGGGACTTTAACAGCATTAAACTCAGCGATAGCTTCTTAAGGCAGTAAAGCTTCAATTTATAAAATAAGCTATATAAAATAAGCACTTCTTATTTCCTGGACATAGTGGCTGGTAATTTACTTTTTTCTATTAGTTGTCTTCAAGTCTAATAATATACGGCTATGTTCAAGAAGGGACTTCAGAGTTGCATCTTGGTTTGAAATTTTATTCACAAAATATTGGTATGGAAAAACTTCAGATGCTGCCATCCTATTGAACAAAATTCCAAATGCCATCAGATGTATGAGGAATAAATCATGACTAAAAACGTAGGTCCAGATGATATAATTGGTAAGACTTCCAGTTCTCAAACCAAAAAATTTTTGCAGGGTGGCTCAGGGAAGGAAAAGGATGGTTTTGCCCTACAATCCTTCAGCTATTTGAGCAGAAGAATATCATCCCAGAGAACTCACAGTTGACCAAATCTCATAATCTTCCTGCTTTAGATGCTTGTTTGGCAAGAGACTAAAACTGACTTCTCCTGGAAGGTTATCCTACCTTAAGACCTGGTATGTTCTTTCTCAGCCAATTAAATGATAGTAAGAAACAGGAACTAGGAAGAAAATCCTCATAGTCCTGTAGCAAACGCTGCGGTACAGCCAGGTAAGTGGATGCAGAAGTGGAACTCCGGTTCCTTCTACTTTGTTTTAAAGCTGTACGTTTATTCTAAACTAATTGCCTAAGGATCCCACTATGGTCCAGGAACCTCCAGGACAATTAACTCTACCCTAAAATAAGTGAGATGAGCTTTTATCTGGAGGTTTCTCTTTATCTCCTTTCTCTCCAGTGATGCTAGATGCCCAGTTTACACTGCATGCTTCATTTCTATGTTGCAAAAGTTTGGTAAGATAACTCTGACATTTAGTCATACAGATCTTACAGCACAGTGACCAGTAAATTTTCAATTTTTTTTTTTTTTTTTAATAAACACACATCATTCTCACATTAACAAGACCACTGAAGAGAGAAATACTGGGATAACAAAAAAAGCTCTTCAAGGGTGTGGCAATAAAGTAGAAGCAAATCTCACTCTTTGCTCAAAGTTCTGGTCAAGTGTAAGGCCAGAATCCTACCCATACAATTAAACCAGAGCAAACAGAGTTCTGTAAGAGCTTCTGGAATTAACAAAGAACAGACACGCATCTTATTATGCAACTGCAATAAAAGACTTGGGTCAAAATTCAGCAGGAAATAGGTGGACCAAAGAAGCATTATCATATTAAGATAAATTTTATTAAAACCTATTACAAATCAATTGGCAAATTAAAATTAATGAAGGATACTTCATCTTTAGCAACAACATCCTGTATCTGCAAGCATATATTGCTTCTATTTATAAAACTATTACATATTTAACTCAATTGAGAGGAAATGACCCAGACAAAAAGTTGCCGCAGATGAAATAGTAAAACCAAGATGTAATGATCTGGGAATACCGTTTTGTTTGATAAAAAGTTAGTATGGATTACTCCTGTGGCAAATTGCTGCATCATAAACATTGCCCTTTTGGTGCATTTGCCTTGCTGACAACATCTCCAGCACCTTATCCACCAGATTCTTGGGGTATTAGTAGGGTGTCACCATTAAGAAATGATGGATATGTTACAGAAATGAGAGGGCTTTTCCCAGCCTTTTCCTCTGGTGAAGGTATACAGAAAAGTGTCAAATAAGGCAAAAATAAGGCTAATTGAAAAAAATAAGGGAAGTGGACAATCAAAGGATTAAGACAAGGACTGGATGGGAAAAACACGGACTGATTTACCTTTGTGCCAGGTCTCTCCATATTCACCACCACCCCTGATGTTCGCCACCGCTAGAACACCCCCAAGGTGTCGCACAAAAATAAGTCTTGACACACTGAAAAAGCAATCAGATAGCAGATTATTTTAAATTTCTAATTTTTATACCCCTACCACTTTAAAAAAAAATACTTTGAGGGCAAGATCTCTCCCCAAATCAATGATGAAATCGTGAATGAAGCCCCCCTTGATGGCAAACCTGAGTAGCCAGGCTTTTCTCAATGGTTACCCATGGAAATGAAACGCTCTGCAGCCTCGGGAGAGGAAAGAACCATTGCTGGTCCATTCTTCCTCCTTTAATTCTGCACTTAGGAGAGAGCCAGTGGTTCTGCCCAACAGATGACCCCCCCAGGACATGTCACTGCTCTGTTTCTTTTTATTATCTTCAAAGCCTTCAGTGTGGGGACTAGAGCTATGCAGTATCACACATGTAGTACCCATAGCTTTCTGAGCTGTTCCTCTTCCATGGGTCCTCTGCTTTTTCATAGAAGAAAGGAAGGCTTAGCCCAAATGCAGATAGCAAAGAATTAAGTCTTAAGATCAGCCCTTGATCTTTGTTTATGAGCAGGTATTTTCAACTTCTGTTTAATGTACCTTTTTGGACCTGCATAAAATTGTGTTTCCAAAGAAAAACTCCACTTCTACCACTGTTTTGTGCCAGTCAAGCTCTGGCTAATTCCCTTATTTATTTCCCACTTGCATTGCTAAATAGAAAACAAATAATAAAAATAAAATTACAAGTTCTGCCTTTCTTAGTATCGCTAGAACATAGCTAGAAAGCTAAAATAGCATAGTTTTTTTCTTTAATGCCAAACTGCAATAGTATCAAAGCTATAGCTATCTTTTTAAAAGGGACTAAAGAAACTCAAATTATATTTAACAACTAAGAAGAGAAATAGATCTCTGATCTGTTAAGGCAGTAGCTTAACATAGCAGAAGCTGCAGATGGCAAACCACACATATGTCAAGAAGACCAGTAAAATAGTAACAGGTAAATTTTTCATACCTCCCAAAGCAATTATGAATGTACGTGCACTTATTCTTGAGAGTATATACCAAGGATTAAGGAAACAAAAAGAAAAGGAGAAGGATAACTGATAAGAGATTTCTGTATTTTCATAATCCATCAAAGGAAAAGCTTTCTACCTAGGCTGGTTATCTGTAGCAATCAGATGGCTCAGGCAGCATGAATTATCTCTGTTTCTGTAAAATCAATTCTGAAGTCCATCACTGTGAGTTGTATTTTTCTTAGATTGCTGTGACATGCTGATCAAACACAAGATTGCTATTCTATAAGCACACTGTGCAAAGGTCAGAGAGCATTATACTGTCAAACTCCAGGATGCCTAATTTCGACAGCTGGTATGGAGTAGCCTACAGTGGGCTGCCTCATGAGTTTGTGGCTTCTTAAATTTCAGTATGTTAAAGCCACAAAACCTTCCTGCACTTCTTTTCCCTGTCTCTGTCCCAACAAAATCAATAAAAGTTTTTGGTCTAAACTTACTTGATTTCCTAGTAATCAAAGGTAGCAAGTATAGGAATTGTAGGTAAGGTAAGAACTCGCTACCCAAATATGTTGCCTGAGAATATTTAAAAATTCAAAAATCCCAGAACAGAGTCCATCCTCTTTCACCTGCTGAAAGAAACTGCCCATCTGAGGAATCAGCATATTTAACCCACAAGGAATTTGTCAGAAACACGAAGCCAAAGTACTGAGTGGATCCTATCCCATCTGTGGACTCCTCTAACAGAGATGGTACCTTGATGATAATTTTTGGAGGGGGTCTAAGTGACTTGGGATCCCATGGGATATGCAGTACTTATTACAGGAAGCTAGTCCCCATTTCCACAAGCAAACCATTTTTCTGTCACACCCTCAACAGGATAAACTCCAGAGTTTGGTAACAATCATCATATTGATTGCATATATGCCCAAATTATAAGTCAGTTGGTATCTCAGCAATATTACTGGGATTTAGGCATTTCAGAAAACAGTACTCCATACACCTCAACATATACATCTAGTAATGCTGCTGCCAATGACTATTAATTAATACTCACTCTGGTATCGTCAATAGCAAAGTGAGTCAGGATCATAACTTGACCAATACTTTGAGGCAGATGTGCCTAGAGCTTTTAACAAGCTTTCTCAAAGTGACTGTTAAGTTCAAGAAACCAGTTTTTATAAGTATATAGTCAGGATTCATTAACTTCTTTAAAAAGTAAAAATTCCAAATGATCAGACAGCACAAAATTTAGATTTCATACACAACCCTGCTACTGCCTCCTGTGTTCTTCCAGGTGAGCTCTTGCTTCCAGATTTGATTTTAGGTCAACTTGTCTGAGTCACAGAAACTGTCCAGTCACCCTGGATGCCTATGAAATGTCTCTTTCTGCAGACAAAAGTCTGGCTTTCTGCTCTTCCCAACAGTTTCTAAAGCCTTCTGCCCATTACCCCTTTTTCCTTCTCTCCTGGGAGCAGGGTAAAGAAAAAGAGTACACGAAAGGGCAACAGGATGAGGAAGGAGCCCCAGTGGAGGAAGCATAAGGTAGTTCCTTCCCTGGAGAGCTCCTTCCAGACCCTATCACTCTTAAGGAGCATAACACAAAAATTAAGCAGACAGGTACTGTTTTTTACAGCACAGGATAACATAAGAAGAGGTGCTTCAAGGAGCAAGAATCCTTTCCCAGAATTACTGTTCTGCTGTCAGGTATTACAGCTGACAGGGAAAAGCAGGCTAGGGCACTGATGATGGGGGAAAAAAATCCTGAGTCACTGGATTTGGTTGCTTTCTTGGCTTTTGTGGAGCAGGAGGGAGTGGTAACCTTGCACTCTGCACCCATGGCTGCTGCGCTGCCTGACCTTTCTCTGGGCTTACAGTCTCTCCCTGCACCACCTCTTTGCTTCAAGGCTTGGTACAACCTGGCCCTGCAGCAGTGAAATGCAATTTCACAGTCTGCTTCATAATCAGCTGTATTCCAGGATGCACTAGAAATTGCTTCTCCTGTACCCACCCAGGGCACACGCAGAACAGTGAAGGGAAACACATTGGTTCCTGCAAGGTAATTAGCTGAATCTGAGGCATTAGCGGTGGGTTTGTGATGGCATTTCCCCAGCAGCTGTGCCAAACCACTGGTGTGGGTTCCATCAGCTTTCACTTGCATTTGTTATGCAGGCTGTATAATAAATGACAGTGCTATAGTGGGCACCATACTCAAAATGTTACCAATTGCAGCTCTTGAGTCCAGAGGAGCATATAAAAGATGTATGCTTGCCTTCAAAAATAAACCACTACTGTAACTGACTTAATGACTTTGGCCTATCATTCTTGTAGTTATTTCTGGATCCTCTAACCTGTTGGTTTGTTTCTGTTGCTTTCAGTGAAAAAGATTTTATTTTCATTTTTTGTGTTGGAGAAAAAATGAAATGCAACAGCAATTTCTTAATTAAGCAGAAATAAGCTCCCCAAGCCAGAAAGCTGGCTCACATTAATGGGTGAGAAATACCAGCGAGAAAAACCTGTACTGGCTCGAAGAAATACAGGACAGAAATGAACCACTGAAAAAGAGAAGATGAAGTGCTTTGTGAAAAGTTGTAAAAGCCTTAAGTTCAGATAAAAAAAAATAATATCAGGAATATTTATCCAGGAACTTTTTTGTTTGATTGTTATTTTAAAGCCAAGCAGGCTACTACTTGGTTGCATTTCCATAGCTACATCTCAGGTCAGGATCAGGTGAACAATGTGGCAGTCTCAGCTTTGACCATCCTGTGGCTGCTTTCTAGCACTTGTGCCTATGGTCATCTACAAAAAAATGACCAAGTCATGGTGTTGGGCTGTGGCTGGAGCAGCACTTGGACCTGGGAACCCCCTGTGGAGCATTGCAGTATATAGTAACAGGGATGCACTCAAACATTACTTGAATCTGCCAGGTAAAGGGAGAACTGGACATCCTGCCTTTCTGGCATAAATTCTCTACCACCATTTTCTTTCCCTGATTATGCCTGCCTACTTTTGGAACACGCTTCCTCACCGAGTACTCAATTCTCAGGTTATTAAACACAAACATGCATTTGAAGACTCTGGCTTTTCTTATTTTTCTTTCAGAAGGAGAAAGGTTGAGAAAGGATATGCTGATGTTACAGGGAGAGAATGAAGAGGGAGGTGTGGCCAACTGTGTTTTATTTACATTGTCAGTGGATAATGTAATTAGATCTGGAGGTGACTGATAGTTCTCTGTGCATGTACTTTTAAGGGATCGTTACAGATTCATATTCTTCTTTTATGAACTGTGTAATAAAGGTTTCATAGGGTTCAAGAAGACATAGGTCACTGCTCCCACCTCCCATCTTCCTCTCTTATGACTGTCAGCTGCACTGTCTTGCTGCTGTTTCCTGGACTCCTATGAGAGTCAATTTTCGCCAAAATGGCAGAAAAACACCCACACTGTTTTGTTGGGATAGTTTTCTGTCATTCTTGCGAAGTAAATCAGCTTAGCAAAGGTTCCAGCAAGCACCAGGGCCAATGGATGGGAGGTGGAAGGAAGTACTGTGAGATACCTTCGCCTTCTGCCAGCAGCCAGCTCATGTCAGCTCTGTAGTATGTGAAATTTTACCTTAAATCAATAGATACATAATATTTACTTTAAAAAAGAAAACATGATAAGTTTTATCACAGTTTTCAGCATCTACAATAAACTGTAATGATAAATCAGTGCTTAAGCCTAATCTAATATGAATTAAAAAAATTATTCTGGCTATATAATTGTCTCTCTTCAGAACCACAGGAAATTAAAAATGTAGCTTTACAAGGCAGATAAAAAGCTTTCAAATAATCATAGAACACAAGATGGGAGGTCCATTATTAGACAAGGAATTTGCTAGAAAGGACAAGAAACAGTAAATACTATTTAAAACCAAAATCACAGTGACCTGGAAAAGCAAACACTACAAAGGATTTCTTGAAATGTGCTGACTCTAAAGCAAGACTGGTAGTACCTAAATTGAATAGGATGGTTTCATAACAGATTATTTTTGTGTTGGTGAGCTGCTCTTCTACTGTCTGAAAAACTGCTCTCCATTCAGTCCTTTGCATTTCTGTTTTGCCCTGCCTCGCCTATGAGCATTTCTTACATATTACAGACAATCACTGCCTCTTGGTAAAGCCTATTCAAATTCCCTCACTGAAGAAATAAGCCTTTTCTTTAAAGAGATCATCCATTCAATAAAGCTTATGGCTTTTGAGGGCTACAAATCCTGTTTTGCACACAACATTTTTGGTCTGTTTTTGGTTTCTTTGCATATGCAGAGCTTGTACCACGTGCATCTCAAGACATACTCTTCTTTCCTCTTCCCAGATCATAAAGGAACACAGTAGGATTTTGCTTCTGATGTAATCTCTTCAAAAGTGTAAACCAAAATAAAGCCAAATTTTAATTATTTACATTCATTTAAACAAATATTTGATTTTCTAGAGTATTAAGACATAGGTAATTGTATAACTTGGAAAAAGGAAAACTTCCTATGTTATTATATATAATATATGTTCAAAGAGCTCAAATACTTGCTTAATGTCCATATGCTTATATATATAATATGTCTATATTATAACAGCTCTTTGCTGTTGAGCTCAGTGACAAAGCAGGAAAAGGATAAGGTGCAACCCAAAGGGCAGGATGCCTGCTGTAAACCTCAGAAGAGCACAGCACTTCTCTGCTCTGACAGATTTCTTCTGTGACCTTGGGCAAACCCCTTGAATTCGGAACGAACAAAGCAGACAAATGATGCCTGAACACTGATGTGTCATCCTTATGGCCCCCACCTTGCTCCTCAGGGACCCGGAATGCATTCCTCTGTCAGATCATAGCCCATCCTGCCCCCAGCCTGTGACAGTTGTAAACGCCAGATATTTCAGAAGAAAGTATGTTACCCTGCTTACCTGTAACTTGGTGTAATTGATATGTTGAAGCCTCCATATCCGTACAAGAAGGCGGGATGAGAACCATCCAATTTAATTCCTTTCTTGTGAATAATAAACATTGGGATCTTAGTACCATCTTTGCTCGGGTAGAAAACCTAAAACAACAGAAAAAGAAATCTGAAATGTTGTTTTTGTTGTATCTCTCCACAACTGCTGTTAACAAGAATCAGAGGTGATCACTTCCATGGTGTCCAATGCGTGCAACTTTCCAAGTGATCTGCACCAATTGCCCAGGTCAGATTCAGTAATGGCCATCACCTGCTTGGTTGCTTAATAGCTCTGGAAAATGTATCAAAAATGAGGCAATACAAAGGGCATGACACTATCCATTTTACATATCTTATTCATCGATTCTACATACAAAGGAGTTTAAGAAAATGCTACGAAACCAATACAATTCTCTGCAAGGGAAGACTGGCGTTGTGAAAATGCAAGAACTGCGTGGTCCATCATATATGAAAGGAGCAGAGACTGAGCTGGCAAGGAGAGTGAACAGAACTATAATCAGATTTCCAATCTAAAATTGTAACTTTAAAATTTTTCTATTTTTTTAAATACTCAAAATTTCAGACACTAGAGAAGAGTGGACAGTGAATACTAAGAAACTCACGGTAGGATGGTGACTTAGCAAGACCCCACCAAACATTATATTGTTTTGGATAACAGAGAGCTATGTTACTACCAAATAAATACGTAAAACTCTCTGAAGATCTGGTCTTGTACAGCTGAAATTGCAGATAATTCCTTTATATCAGTTGATGCAGCAGTCTTTGGTTGTAAAAACATAAATTTAATCACAAGCAGAAGGCCAAAGATATTTAAGAAGTCAGAGTATTTTGGTTTTAGTATTAACACATTGGCACTAATAACATTTTTGGACAGAGTCACTCCACATACCAGATTCAAGTCAAAAGAGCAAACTTTGAACAGCTGAAGACACTGTTTCTTACTAAGCCTTGTGAAAGCAAAAAGCTGCAGCATGAATTCACCGAAGCAAGTCTGTATCCAGCAAAAGTGGATCAAGCATTGGTCAGTCCTTCCAGGTTGTGTTAATGACCACTTCACCTCATCAGGGTGGTAACATAAGTCACGACAGAAACTTGTTGAGCATTCAGTGCATTTTCAGGCATTACCCAGCAGCTTGAACCTGGAGCCCTAACACTGCAGAACCCCCAAGTCTATGCAGCAAGACAACTGATCTACCCGATGGCTTTGGGGAAATTAGCTCCCAAAACACCAATAATCCATGTAGCACATGCTTTGCTGTGTCTTTCTATTACTGCCACAGCACTGTGTGAACTTATAAGCTAAATTCCATATACGTAAACATAGACTGTAATTGCTTAACACAGTTCCCACATCTTGTTGTTTTGATGCATGTATCTGCCTACATGTTCTAATTTAGGATCCAGCGTGTCTTATTTTGCCAGTCAAGCAAAGCCATGTGGGTGTGAATGCAGTCTACTGCTTGTCATAAAGTTCTGGTTGACTACTTTTCATTGCTTTGGTTTTAGCATCATTATTTGCAGCTTCTAGTCTAATTAGAACAAAGAAGTAAATGAAGAATGCCATTCTTATAATTTTGTTGTTTCTTTACAACCTCTGTGCTTTTAAAGGAAATAGACCTACCACACTTTATAAAGCACACGAACAGGATCTATTTTTATAGCACATGAACCTCAACAGTAATATGATCTTGTGCAACACATTTATTCTGAGCAATGCGAAACATGCAAATCCACATGGCATGTTGAAAACAAAATAGTCACATTTAATTTTAGCATAATCGCTGCTACGGAAATGTGAGAAATTTCAAATGAAACATCTACTACTGAAGACTTCAACAAAACCTGTAGACGTATTCCAAATTAAGTTCAGTTTCCAGCAGATGGAAAAATTCAGAACAAAAGCCTGAAGGCGTTTTTACACAGATTAAATCACTGTTTCCAACTACTGCCACAACTATATCTTCACTGACAAAGTGGTCATCAGAACTCCCTGCAGGATTTTCATTTTTAGTATTTAGCTGAATACTATAAACAAACTCTCTGATGGACAGAAGAACTACTGAGGCTGGTGACGAGGAGTTACAGAGAGACTCCTCTCTAAAATGCTATCCAGCAACTCCAGTTGCTGCTGGCAATTCACACAAGGCGAGCACCTGGCCCTCCTATGTTTCCAGTCACTTACTGCTGTTGGCCAGGACTTCCCGATGATTAAAGGATGCCACTAATTTTCCTACTTCTTTCTGCACAACGGGATTTTTTTTTAAACAGTTCTCTGAAAACTGTCTTCAGTAGTACTTTTATCATCATCAGTTAAGATTAAATAATATACCATTAAATGAAAACTCAACCAAAAAGAGATGCACGTCAAGGTGACATTTGCAATTTAAGTTTTCACTCCTATCTTTGCTAAAATAACGATTACCTTTCCCTCCAAGATGAACAAACAGGAGGGGGCAGGGGGTGGAAATCAATTCAGTGAGACACCGAGATACTTCTTCAAATAGACTATTTTCAACAACTGATTCAATCTCACCTTTAAATAAGGTGTTATCTCTGAAGCAAGTCCAATGGCTTATTCATGTAACCAATAAAGGGACGTGCTTCTATCTCCAAGATTAAGGTAAACTGGAAAGGGCAAGCCCTAAATAGAAGAATTTCCCATGATGGTATTTCATGCCTAATTTTAGACACTGTCAGCTTTAACGTGAGTAAATGCTCATAAAAGGGTACTACTGTTTTCTGCTTTATCGCAGCTGGGAGTGATCCACTTGTATTTACCACATTATATTACTCGCTGCTCATATATTTTCAAATAAAGACTCTCATGCCTCCACAGCCATTAGCACGTCTAAGAAGAGGACAAATTAGCATAGTGGTTTTGGAGGGAAAAGGATTGGGGACAATGCTTCAGACGTACTGTTATGAATGATGAAACTCATCATTCAAGGAGGGACATGCTAAAAATAAATATTTTCAGCCTCTAGGAATGCACCAGCAATGCTGTGCGGCTGACAGGGCACTCCTGCTGCAGGAACCCTTCGTGCTATTCTCGGACCGTAGCGCTGGAGCAGGACAGCAGCCCCAAAATAGTTGTAGCTAACTCCAGCTCGCACTAATGTCCCTATCTGTCACACGGCAGAGGGGTCTCAGTGCCAGAAAGAATCACTTTCAATTCAGATGCTGGAACCTGAGGCATAAATTTATAGCCCCTATTCTTCTTACTATGACCCAGGGAGAAAGTAAGACTGTTCACACTATTACTCATTATTATAAACTATGTGAAGATTAAGCTATATAAGATACATAATCTTAGCCATTCTTCTTTAGTGCATACATATATATTTATACAGTGTTGGGTTTGTTTGTTTCTTTTAAACTTGGCATTTGAAAGCAATTTACACTCCATTTTCACATAAAAAGACCATAGAAGTTTACTTCCAAGACAGTAAACTGGAAGAAAGCTTACAGAGTAAGTTTTACAAGTAAAATCAGTTAACGGCTCCGTGATAGGATTTGTAAATTTACTTAGGAGTTAAGTAACATAAAAAAGTCCTGTACATTCATTTCTGAGGAAGTCTTTGTCCTCCTAATTACCATTTGCTTTAAATGTGCAGTATTTATGTTAAGTGAATCTTCACTCAGGGAAGTGATGAAAAAATCAGCCAACACTGGAGACACAGACCTTAATTCAGAAAGACTCTATCCACTTCTGCCTCTGCAGTGACAAGAAGCATCCTCAAGTCACCAGTAGGCAAAAGTAAGTATTTTAGGTTTTGAAAAGCTAAAAGGATTTAAAAGAGAGAGGTTGAAGCCAAAGCTCTTCTTTCATTTGTCAATAGAGATAATATAGCCAGACATTGAGACTTACACACAGAACCAAAAATAATTTTGGCAATGATCCACTATGCACTTATCTTGTGAGTAAATATGGAATCAGTATATTTGGATATTAAAGGAGATGATATAATCATCACAACAAATAAAGAAATAAAACTAACCTGCCTAAATACTCACATTATGCCACACAATTAAAAATACCTAAGACTACTGAAATTGAATAGAAACTTCCATTTTTACTCAGCAATTTGTGAGCATTCAGTTTCACTTTTCTTTTTTCAGAAATGTCTTCTCTGTTTATATATGATATAGATATAAAGATATCTATATAGAGATAAAAAGATGTATGTAATTGCAATTGTTTGGGGGGGAAAAGTGCATGTACACCTGAAATCACCTTACTTTTACAAAACCAAAAGTCCTTCTAAGCAAAAAACAACCCCAAACTTGTACAGACAATAATCTTATCCAATCAGGTGTAATGCATGTATTTTTAAGCTGTGAACAATATCTGAATGCCTAGAAACCTTTTATACTTTTAATGACTCACTCATTAAAATCCAATTAAAAAGTATTTAGCTTGATTTTTCAGAAAGAATTATTTCCTGCTGATAATACATTAATTTTACACATAAAAAGAAACTTTGACTTCTGGGACACAAAAACACCCCCTAAGTCACAGTAGGCTAATTATTCTTAGAAAGTCACTAGCGATTCCAAAAATGTCTCTCTCAACCTCTCTGTCAAGATTAGGTACTACATACCAGAGCTATCAATTCTTTCCATGTCTTTGTGTGCTTGATCTAAACCAGGTAAGAGTTACACATATCATCAGGTTGACATCCTTGTGTGAAATGCCAAAGAATTTTACAAAGAGCAAATAAAAAGGTATGTAAGTCATGCTAGAATACTCCTTATTAAAAATGCATGTTCAATAATTTAAGTTAAATAATACCAAGACGATGCCTTTAAAATGAGTTTTTTTCTGATGTCTTCCGTATTAGTTTTACTGAGATCATTCTTTTCACATGAACCAAATACAGGACGTAGCAGTCTTGTGAAATTTAGCAATTGTTTTCTGTTTCTAGGTAAGAGCATCTGCCCTCGCACACGGCTGCTGGGATGCAAAGCACAGGTACAGGCAGTGCTAGAGAAGCGCAGCTCCCCGTGGGGTCCCCGCAGACACAGGTGGGAGTGAAGCCCACGGGGCTGTGCTGAGCAGGCCACCAAAGAGAATGAAGGTTTTATTA